TATCTGCCCATCTAATTGTAAGAAATAATGCAGAGAAATTCCATGTACAATTTTCCCAGTTCAATCCAGGAATAACATCTTACAAAACTATAATAAAATATCCCAAGCTGGATCTTTTACTCACTACAAGGGTTCTTTGTGTTACCCTCTAATGGCCACTCTCACTCCCTGGCTCCACCTACCAAGATCCTTAGCTGCTGACAATTACTAATATGCATTTCTAGAATTTTGGCATTTCAAGAATGCATATAAATAGATCACCCAGTACATAACATGGGGAGACTGGCTTTTTCCACTCAGTGTAACTCTGGAAACTAACCCAGGTTGTTGCATGTTTCAAAAATTTATTCATGTACACATTGAAGGACATCTAGGCTGATTCCAGATTTTAGCCACCACAGAGAAAGCAACCGTGAACATCCCTCTGCAAGTCATCGTGTGTTAAGTCTTTATTTTTCTGGGATAAGTGCCCAGGAGTGCAATTATGGGTCATATGGTAGTTGCACATTTAGTTGTGAAAGTCATTTTTAGTAGCAGCTTAGCTCTTCACAAGAGAATAGATAAGGGTTTACTCATCATTCCTTGTCCCTGGTATGTATTGTTTCTAAGTAATGCGCAATTGTAAAGGATTCTGTACTTTGTAAAGAATTTTTGCATCTCCTTACGGGGTGTTCCTGTGAGTGGAGTTGCCCCATCATGGAGTGGAAGACTTCTCAGTACTTATTGTCAAACCAGACATTTCTAATTGCCAACAACAGACTGTTACGCATAGTTTAACAGGTTGGTATGCTCACCGTGCCCTGGGAAGTGATGAGTCAGTGAGGCCCGTGCAGGCTGACGGGGATGGGGGGCTGTCTGGAAACCCAAGTGGGGCCAGAGGAGAGGGGCAGTGACACCTGAGCTGGGTGGTTTGTGCTGCTCTGACAGTTCTCCTGTCATGCCCTCAGTGCTAGATGCCACAGGACTGGCACGGAGTTTCTTTAACCAGCTCTGGAAAGTAAGTGACGAGTGGCAGAAGCAGGTGCCAGTTACTGCGCAGACCCCACAGAGGGAGTGGGTGGTCTCTATCCACGCCATCCGGAACAGTCGCCGCAGGATGGAAGACCGGCATGTGTCCCTTCCTGTCTTCAACTTGCTCCTCGGCTTGTCTGTGAGTGTTCTACTGACAGGGTCCCTGGGCTGGAGCGGGCGGTGGAGCCTAAGAAGAGCTGCCAGCCAAAGCCGAGACAGGAGAGACTTCTCAGAGGCTGTCTCAAGGCTGAGGTGCTGGGCAGCTCGCAAAGCACTTTCCAGGGGCGTCTGAGAGGCCCAATTCCTTGTATCAGCACCTTTCAGCCAGGATACCAGGCACTTTACTTTCCTAGGGAAGGATTGAGAAAAGGCAGTGGTAGGCATATGTCTGTTAAGAGGCCAGGCCCCATGCCAAAGCCACCTCAGACATACTGCTGAGCCCTGCCAGCCTACAGCACCAGGAGCCACCTGGTCTATCTTCTGGGAGCAGCCCAGTACAGATGGTAAAGCCAAGGCTCCAAGGATTTATTTTCCTCTTCCAAATTTCCTAGCTCCTTGGTGCTTGAGCCAGGTTGGCCTGTATGATGCCAGAGTTGCTCAAAACATCACACAGCAAGAGACTAGAAGTACACAAATGTAGTTCTTCCAGTTCTTCCAAGCCCTACCCGTCCTGATCTGTTTTCTATTGCTATAACAGGATACCTGAGAGGGGGTAATCTGTAAAGAATAAATGTATTTCTTACAGTTCTGGAGACTGAGAAGTCCCAGTCAAAGAGCTGCATCTGGTGATGGCCTTGGTGGAGGGGACTCTGCAGAGTCTTGATGCAGTGCAAAATATCACATGGCAAAGCAGAATCTGTTTGCCAAGGAGAGCTCACTTTTATAACAGAGCCATTCCCTCAGTAACCTGTTAATTCATTAATCCATAAAAGGATTAATCTATTATCTTTCAAAAGTCCTATCTCCAAATACCATTACCATAAGAATTTTGGGATTAAGTTTCCAACACATGCATTCTCAGGGACAAACATTGAAACGGTAGTGCTACCCCAGTGGGTGGCTAGGCCACACCTGCCCCCTGGATGAGGGCAGCTGGCAGGAGTCCCAGCCTCAGTGAGGTGCAAGGCTAGCGGAGTTGTGACCCACTCTGTGCTCCCCATCAGGACCCTGTGGACCGTGCATACTTTGCTGTGTTTGACGGTCATGGAGGCGTGGATGCCGCGAGGTATGCTGCAGTCCACTTACATGTCAACACCGCCCGCCAGCCAAAGCTACTTACAGACCCAGCAGAAGCCCTCAAAGAAGCCTTCCGACACACTGATGAAATGTTTCTCTTGAAAGCCAAGCGAGAGGTGAGAATCAGCAGCCAGGTCTCAAGGGCATATTGGGGGCCAGCAGCCACTAGGATCGGAGTTGCTACCTCTACTGAGGGAAGGATACCAAGGTGGTTGGTGGCATGGGAACATCCTCACTGAATGTGGCTGGACATCATGCCATTTATTCTCAAGAAAAAGGGCTCATTTTTCATTTGAATGGAAGCAGCATGAAGCTTACCCCCCCTTTTATTGTTTCCATAACTATAATGAAATAACTGAGGCTAGATAACTTTATAGAGACAAGAAGTTTGTTTTGGCTTGTGATTCTGCAGGTTCAGAGTCAAAGGGCTTCATCTGGTAATGGTCTTGCTGGTAGAGCCCCAAAGTTGCTCAAAACATCACACAGCAGGAGACCAGAAGTACACATATGTATGTGTCTATCTTCTGGCCTCTGTCTTCTTCTAAAGCCACTAGGATTCACCCATGGGGGCTCCACCCTAATAATTTTATCCAATCCCAGTCTCCTCCCACAGTTCTCACTCTCAGACACTATAGTTGGATTAAGTTTCCACCCTTTTAATACCTCACAGTGGGATTTAAATTTTAACACATGAAGCCTTGGAGGGATACTCAGCCCCCTCTCCAAACCATAACACCCTGGGCCAGCGTGCTGGGCCTCCACAGGGAACAGGCATCCTGTTTTGAAATAGGATTTTGTTTTAATCCGGTACAGTTAGGCAACAGACAAGTGCCTTCAAAGAAGAGCTCAGTGCGCATAGTTACCAAGAGGCGGCGGCATGCAGCACCAGGCAGTGCCAGTCAAGAGACCGGGGGAGCGGAGGAGACATGGCCTCTGGGAAAGACGCGGTGAGGCCAGGCAGGCAGGCCATCCCATGCTCAGGACTGGATAGTTTGCATAACCTTAGTCGTTTCTGAATGACAAGGGTAGTCTCTAACCATCCCTGCACCAGGCCCTGAAGCCACCCTGCACAGAGGAAGCCTTGGCCTGGTAGATAATGAAGGACCAGGTGGCTTTCCCATGAGAGGTAACACTCTCAGGCCAGCATTTGCTGTCTCTAGGAATTAGTCCGCTGATCCAGTCTCACCAGGCCCCAAGATGTCATTGCGTCATAACATACAGGCGACATAAAACATGATCAATACACTCTCCCCCCTCTCCTTGCTCTTCCTAGCAGGAACTCAGCAGGCTGTTGGTGTCTGTCCTTGGGAGTTACAGCCATGTGTAAGAGTGAGGCACATGTTTCTGAAAGGAGAAAAACCCATCAAGCCTCTCCTGTGGACGTACACCTGCTTAACCTTCACGACAGCCCTGGGAGGTGTCTTTTAATATTGTACCCATTTCAGACATTGGGAAACTGAGGCTCAGATTGCTTAAAAGACCTGTCTCAGTGAGGAGACAGTGAAGAGAGGCACCTATTATCACATGTTCTAACCACAGAGCTATGTGGAATTCAGCAGACTTTCCACCACAACAGAAAACTGTAAGGCATCTAAAACCCCCAGAGGGAGCCTCGTAGAAAACTGCACTGTCGCCCCAGCTGGTGAGGCAGACCTCTCAGCTGCGCATTGCTCCTGGAGTAAAGAGAGGTGGCTCTACAACAGTTCAATTATTTTCTTTTGTTGGCACTTGGTGGTGCTGGGGACAGAACCGAGGGCCTCCCACATGCTAGGCAAGTGCTGTACCGCTGTGCTGTATCTCTAGCTTCTGTTCTGTATACAGTATTGAGACATAATTGACGCATGATAAGTTGCCCATATTTAAAGTACATGATTGGATAAATTTTGGTTTATGTGTACACTCACGAAACCCTTCACTCCTGTAATGGGCATCTTCATCACACTTCCTGCCCTGCCTTGTTCCTGTCCCCTCCTGCCCTTCCACACACCCACTCCCCCAGCTCCTGAGTCCGCTTCCTGCCGCTACAGACGAGCCTGCGTGTTCCAGAGTGTGGTACTAGTGGGGTGCTGTTGGATACTTTCCTCTTCCATGTGGCTTGATTGCTGCACACTTCATCCATGGCATGTAGGTGGGTCCTCTTGGGCTGTCAGGCACGTGCCCCCCGTGTGGGCACCGAATCACACGCACCTTGCCCCACGTGGGCCTCTCTCTGCAGCGGCTGCAGAGTGGCACCACAGGCGTGTGCGCACTTGTTGCTGGAACAACCCTGCACGTCGCCTGGCTCGGGGACTCCCAGGTCTTCCTGGTGAAACAGGGACAATTGGTGAAGTTGATGAACGCACACAGACCTGACCAACCGGTAAGGGCTCCTTCCGTCAAACCCAGGATGCTCTGAGGCTACTGTTGTTCTAGGCCTGTGCAAGACTGGGGACCTCACAGGGCAGCAGAATGTCAGCAGGTCCCCTCTGGGTGTTGTTGAGGATTCGGAAGTGCAGCGGCGCTGGCAGCTTCTTTTGCCCCTGCTGAGGAGGACACCACTGTGTGGCTTGGGTGGCCAGGGAGTCTCAAGTGAGCCCTTCCTGAGAGCTCTCTGGGTCACAGTGACATGGAACCCAGAGCTCCAGGCAAGAGCTGGTTCTTCTGCCCCAACAGGCAGCCCAGGAAGTGGGGTCATCTCAGCCCAGCCCAGAATTCTGTGATACCCACAGGCATGGAGCAGCCAAGCAGAGGCTGAGAACAAGGAGGTAGCACTAGGGCTGGAGTGAAGCTTAAGCTGCAGTAGGCAGAGACTATGCTGGGAGCCTGCAACTCAGGTCACTCACCTGTCTGAGTCCCAAGGCCCTAACTTGGACATGAGGAAGCTGTCCCTCCTCAGCCCATATCTCACAGAGAAGTCTCATCTGTCTCCTGAGGGCAGGGAGGGCATGTTTGGGTATCACAGAATGCCTGTGTTCCCTCCCCCAACACCATCTTCTCCACGTGCTATGCTCTACACCAGCTTTTCTCGGCTACCTTTGCACCTGGCAGACCATTCTACACCTATACGCGAAGGGCTCTCATCCTTGGAGACGCTTGGCGTTCTGCTCATCATCCAGTCCCTTGTGGAGAAACACTGAAGTCTTAAGTCTTTCTGTACTGAAAACATGGCAGCAGTGCATAACTTTGTCCACTACATTGCCCAGGGTCAAGTGTATCTGTAGAAAAGATTTCCAGAGATAGGATTGCAGGGTCAGAGTAGACGCACAATCTTGGTAGATCTGCCCAACGGACCTCTCCCGGCTGGGCCAGCCTGTGCTTGAGCAGTGCATCTGAGAGTGTCCCACCAAGTTCCCCCACTCACAGGATTTCACCCTCCTGAAAGATAAGAAGGGTATCTCAGCAGTTGTTTGATTTGCTTTTTTCTTACAGAGCAAATTTAAATATAGTTTCAAAAGTTTAAGCCAGGCATGGTGGCACACGCCTGTAACCCCACCACTCTGAGAGGCTGAGGCGGGAGGATCACAAGTTCAGTCCAACTTCAGTGATTCAGGGAGACCCTGTACCCTCCCCTCAAAAAAAGGTGGGGATGTAGCTTAGTGCAAAGATCCTGGGTTCAGTACTCAGAATCAACTCCCCCCCGCAAAAAAAAAGAAAGAAAGAAAAAGTTTTAAGATAGTTTTTATTGCCTTGTCTTTCCCTGTGAACAGTTTTTTCTATCCCTTGTCTGTTTTTCCTTACCAATTTATAAGCACCTTAGACTTGTTAGGAAGGTGGTTTCCTAGTCTGGTGTTTGCGGTTTTTTCCCCACACCTGTTGTTCTGGGTATTCTGTAGTGGTCAAGTTGAGCCATCTTTCCTCTTGTGGTTCTTAGATTGGGAATGCAGGACAGAGACTCTTGGGCATTGACCCCCAGTCGGGGGTCATGGTGCTCCTTGGCCTCTCAGCACAGCTCCTGGTCTGCACCACCTGTGTGGCTCTCCCCATTGTACAGAGGAGAGACCTGAAGCGGAGAGACAGAGACAGAGAGAGGTTCAGTCACCTGCCCAGAGCATATACTTAAGTAGCAGATAGTCTCTGCCGCTCCACCACCACCCCACTACAGGGGAGTTTGGCACCTGCTCACTGTCGGTCCTCTTTCCCTGGCAGGTGAAACGTAGCCAGGTGAGCCACCCACTGCCTGCACCTGTGCAGCTCAGAGGCCAGCTTCTTTCTGAAACCCAGGGGAGACCTTTTCCAAGCAGCACTTGAGCGCTGCAGTGTGGTGTCATGGTAAAGCAGGGACAGATCGCCTTGCTTGGCCCTGGCTCCGTCCTTTCTAGGCCTGAGGCTCCTCATCTGTGAAATAGGGTTCTTGGCATGTTCAGAGGATTGAGTGATCCGGTACATGTGAGTGCTGAGATCGGTGCCTGCACAGGAGGAGCGCACGCAAGTGTCTGTTGACCCATGGCCAGGGGTGAGGAGAGATGGGGGCAGAGACGAGAGCCCACCTCCCTCCTGCCAGCTGCAGCTTGTGGTCCTCTTTGTAGCCCACCACCTGCTGGGGAAATAATCAAAGATGTGGGCAAAGGTTCTTCACAAAAGTGACTTTCCCCACGTCAGTTACGAGGACGGGAAACTGGGAGCTTTATTTGTGGCCCAACAGCCCACAAAAGTGACCTGAGGATTGTGTGGGGAGCTGTGCTGCTGCAGCTGTCTGAACAGAGCTTCTCCCGCTGCTGAAGTAGCTTCAGGTCAGCAGACATTTAAAGCCTACTTTTTTGCGGGGGTGGGGCAGGGTCTCACTGTGCAGTTTAGGCTGGCTTTGAACTCACTATGTAACCCAGGCTGGCCTCAGACTGGAGTTAATCCTCCTGTCTCAGCCTCCGGAGTAGTAGGATTACAAGAATACACAACCACGCCCTGCCAGAGCCTGTTTTTTACACAATACTTTGCAGAGGCAGTGGGGTCACAAATAGGACCTCCACCTGCCAGCCAGTAGCTCTGTGTAGTGGAGGAAGAAGGTGTGACAGTGAGGGTGAGGACACAGCTGGGAGGGTGTGACAGGAAGAGAGCAATGGCAGTGGGGCCTGGGGTGGAATCTTGGAGGCACGTGTGACTTCTGCAGGCCAGAGGCAGCGTCTAGTTGAAGAGAGAGCAGGTGATGCCAGAGCCACTGACCTGCTGCTCTTTTAGCGGGGCTGCCCCCAGCCAGGAAGTACAGGGTATGGGCCTGAGCTAGGCAAGCCAGACCCACTTTAGGGGCGTGGGCAGCCTGTGCACACAGGGTCGCCTTTTGGCACAGGGAACCTACTAGGGCTTTCTAAACAGCTGTCAAGGTGGAGCTCACAGGCCTAGTGTGGCCCAGGTGTCTTCCTTTTCACTAGCTCAGTCCTGTCCCCACATCATTCTCTCAGGGAGCAGAGAATAGGGGGTGCTCAGGAAGGGGGATTCTGAGGCTTTTGTTATATCTTATTTTTTGTTTGTTTTTGAGGCAGGATCTTTTTATGTTGCTTAGGCTGGCCTCAAACTCACAATCCTCCTGCCTCAGCCTCCTGAGTGCTGGGATTGTAGGTTTGCATCACCTTGTCTGGCTGGTTCCACAGCTTTAAGGGCCAAGTGCCCTGCTTTTAGGACCTCCCTGGGGAGACCTTGCCCTCAAAGACCTTGCCCTTGACATCACTGCTCCCCAAGATTGAAGGTGGACAGGTGTGAGTTGTCTCACCCTCACCTCACAGGGGCCCATGAGAACAGCTTCCACTTTACCCTTAGTCACCTTTGGTCACCCCACTCACTGTCCCTACATCACAGGCATTGAGGATTTGGGCTGAGTTGGAGCATATGAGAGACAAAAGCAGAGAAAGGCTGACAGTTCTCAACTCTTACCACAGGCAAAGGCTGGGGTCGGAGCAGCTCCCAGCCACAGTTCCTTGCTGGTCTGCGCGCCTCTTCATGTGCACATGTGTGTGTGTGAACTGGTGTAGGGTGTGTCTATCCCCTCCCCTCCCTTCCCCTCTTTTCCTTATGCTTGCCCTCCCTGCCTTTTTCTAGCCCTGCTCAGACCACAGTGGGAAGGAGGTACCAAACCTGAGGGAGCCTTTGAGATCCCATAATCTTACCCACTGCACTAGGACAGGTGGCTGGTTCGAGTGGTGGGGATGCCCAGCCTACTGGGCACCCCACTGTACAGGTAGTTATGAGCAGGAGGTTTACCCAGCATGTAAAATAGAGATAAAGGACACTTTGCCTCCTCCAGTAGAGATGCCTGGCTCCCCGGGGGGTGGTGCACGTGTGGTACATTCAGCTGTTGTCACCAGCTGTCTGGTGACAGGCTTATGTCTGGGAAGCTTCTTCATTTGCAGGAATTAGTAGATCCAAAGAGGTTTTTTGAGTGACTTGTGGCTAGGTGAAGCCTTTGTCCTGTGCTCTGGGAGGAAGTTGGGCTGGTCGCTGTGATGAGCAGAGACACTGCCTGGTAGGGAGGCGGGGTTAGGGTAGGACAAGGATCAAGCGGGCACTGAATTGCTGCAGGGCTTGGCTCAGGTTTTATGAACCTTTCCATGTGGCCACATATACGTACGACTGCTTCATCTTGTCTCAGCTGCTTTCATGGTAGGGATAGCATCCTCCAGGTGAAGATAAGGAAGCTGAGGTATCCACCATCCAAATCCAAAGCTGGTGTCTTTCTGCTGCCTCTTGAGCATCTCCCTGGCCCCAGACCCCCGCTCATTGGCCCCTGGTGGGCCATTTATGTTCATAGCATCTCTTGCTAGCCATTCCTGCAGCTGAAGGACATTTAGATTATTTATACTTGTAACCATTTGTAATGATACCTAATTTGAGTGCATCTCTGAATGTCCTGTCTTGGTTCAAACACTGTGGCTTTGAACATATCATAGAAACTAGCTCCGTCTCTTTGGTTGGGCTGCAGTGCTGGGGCCTCTGGGTCCATGGACTCACCCAGGCCCCGGACGCTGGCTGTCTCCCTGCAGGAGGAGTGGGAGCGCATCCAAAGACTGGGTGGCTTTGTGGTTTTCCTGGATTGCTGGAGAGTCAATGCGACCCTGGCCGTCTCTAGAGCCATTGGTAAGCAGAGTGCAAAGGGTGGCACGGGGTAAAACAAGGCCTCCAACAGTGACCAGGGGCTCAACCAGTGGTTTAGGACAGAGTGTTATATGCCAAAAAGGATTTGCAGTGTGCAGAAGCTCCTGGCTTAGAGTGGGATTACTTTCCAAGAAACCCCTGATAAGTTGAAAATGTGTTTAAGGCATCTAACCTGGCAGACCTCCTAGCTTAGCAATGCAGTCTGCTGTGGAGTATTGATGATCTGCCCTTGTGGTTATGGGGCTGACACACCAGTTTGCAGAGAGGGTCTCAGACCACTTATCATTAATCCAGAAAGGAGCAAAATTCAAACGAATTTCTGCTGATATATAATGTAGCTCAAGGATGTAGCCCAGTGGCACAAGCACCTGCCTGGCAAGTGCAAGGTCCTGAGTTCAATTCCCTGTACAAAAAAAAAAAAAAAAACCACCCGGGACCTGTCTGTACTAGGGTTATGTCATCAGGAACAGGGTAGATTTAGAGACCACAATTGTGAATACTCAAGAAACTGTCATCTCCCACCAGTAACTGCAGTTTAAGTTATATATCGTTAACTCTTAAATAGGCTCCCCCAAAATCCTTGAGCTAGCCACTGTATGGGCTAGGAGAAAAGCTTTTAAATATTTCATAAATGAGGTTACTGCCCCCATTTATGTGAATGATTCTTTTTCATCTTTTGGGGGGATAGCAGTTCCCTTACCCACTCCTCCATCCCATTTTCTCAGTATCCTGTCACTGCCAAGTCTCAGCCCAGAGACCATATCTGCCCCTTCCAAGTACAGCACTTAAAGATCACTCCCTCCCCAGCTAACCTCGGGGATTGGGGCCTGCCCCTCTCACTGTCCTTGGCAAGTGTAGCACCTTCCTTACAGCCACTGGAATTGAACTCAGGACCTTACAGTATCTCATGCTACTGCCACTGTTTCTCTGGACACACCAGGAAGGACAGGCTCCCAGGCTGTGGCTGGTGGCGGGGGAGGGCACTCTGAGGAGGGTGGGAAGCGTTGGCGAGTTTCCCTCTGGGCCAGGGTCTGTCCCCACAGGCTGAGTGCCGGTGGGCTAGTGAAGAGCGGGAGTAGACAGTGAGGCCCTCTGACGTTAGCTCTTCTCCTCCTGTGCCTAGGGGACATCCTCCAGAAGCCCTATATATCCGGGGAGGCAGATTCGGCCTCCTGTGAGCTGACTGGCTCTGAGGACTACCTGCTGCTCGCCTGCGATGGCTTCTTCGACTTCGTCTACCTCGATGAAGTCACCAGCCTTGTCCATGGTCACCTGGTCAAACAGGAGGGCAATGGGCTCCATGTTGCTGAGGAGCTGGTGGCTGTGGCCCGGGAGCGAGGCTCCAGTGACAACATCACGGTTATGGTGGTCTTCCTCAGGGACCCCCGAGAGCTGCTGGAGGGTGGGACCCAGGGGGCAGGGGACTCCCAGGCAGATGTGAGAAGCCAGGACTTGCCCTCTGGCCTCTCAGATCCCAAGACCGACACTCCTCAGAAAAGCTAGGTGGTCCAGTTCCCCCCTCACCCCACCCCGACCCTTCCCTCCACCTGTGTGAGTCTCGTCAGAGGTCTCAGGACCTGACAGTCAGTAGTGGGCAGGGTGCACCACCCACACTGTGCTTGCCCCAGCACCCCAAGACCGCTGGCGGTGTGTGCTATAGCCTGTTCTGGTAACTGCAGAATTGCTCCAGGCAGGGCTCGGAAGCAGGCGTAGGGAAAAGACCTTACCAAAGTGAAGATGGCCCAGGATGTGGCCTGGCTCTTTCTCCTACCTCTCATCAAGGCAGGGGTGGGCCCAGAAATCTCAAGCATCTGGTAGCAGCCTGACCAAAGACAGGGTGTGCATGTGGAGCACTGGGGGACATGCGCGGGGGACCCCCCCCAGCAGACCTCAGAGCTCCAACCATCTTCAGGCACATCCTGGGGTCAGGTCAAGCAGACAGGATATCCATCCTGGCTTTCTTACGGCTTCTCGCCATGGCCGTGGCTATGGATGGCCGTGGTGGGAGGAAGGGTCATACTGAGGGATAGGTCTGGCACGTCCTGGTTCACCATGCTGGCTTCCCAAAGAAGAGAGAGCAACCTTGCTGGAAAGAGAGGGAGGCCAGGGATCTGGTCCGCGGCCACCCAGGATGTGTTAGGGCCCACAAGACCCTCTTCCTGCTTGCCTTGAGGGCCCTGGGGAGGTAAAGCTCTGCACTTACTGACACAAGACGTGTGTGTCATTTGTTTGGGTTTTATTCCAGGAAAAGTCTAATTCAGAAGCAGTATTTCAGATTTTGTCTTTGTTTTGTCAGTGCCAAAATGACCCACAGTGTCATATAATTTAAGCAGAGCTTAGTGTTTATTTCTTAGAAAACTTAAGTATTTACTTTTTGGGTTGGTTTTTTTGTTTGTTTGTTTTCCTATTTTGGAAACATTTTCATTGCAGTATTACTGAATTTTTTTCTTTTTTTTTTTTTTTCTAAATCAGGATTGAAGCAGAAACTTTTCCAGGTGGTGTTAATAAGCCGCTTAAGTGCCTTACACGGCTGTGGGAGATGAGGCTTGCTGGTCTGCCATAGATTCTGACAGGCCCGTTGAAGTTCTTACAGAAGCAGCATTTGTTTTGCTAGGAAGGCGTGATTTGGGTTAGAAATCTCCCTGGAGTTCTTTTCCTTCTTTGTGTTGCCAGGCAGCCCCCAAGAGCCTTGCCGGAATGATTGGCAGGAGCCATGGGTGGGACTGCTGCCTGGGCCCTGCTGTGCTGGTCTCGCTGCTACTTGAGTAGAATGTTCCAGAATACCTTTGTGTATTTGTAATCACACTGGTTTCTTCAGGGGGAGATGTTTAAGAGGCTCTGGGAAGCCCGGAGGCAGCCCAGTGTCTTGGCTTTGTCTGGAGGCAGGGGTGGGATGCTGCTGGCAATCTGACAGCCCCGGCCACAGCCCCAGTCCCCCACCCCCAGGCTGGTGTCCTCCCCCGCAGGGCTTTGTCCTGTAGCTGCAAGAAGGAAAGGCTCCAAGTCCCCTTGAATACTGGGAAGTTGAGGCCCAGAGTGATGATACTTGGGTATCTCAAGGAGCTTGCGTAGTATATGCAGAGTTGAAAGTGGCAGGACTGGGGAGGCGGCCAAGCAGAGGGCAGGGACAGGGCAGGAAAGAAGGGCCCTGGAGGCCCGTGGAGAGCAGCCTCAGAGGGAAGTGCTGAGCAGCAGTAGGGCTGCTCCCACAGAGGTCCAAAGGGCGGTGGATGGCTTAGCTAAGGCTTGTGACAGGGACAGTAAGAGGAAGTTTGGCCATGAGATCCCTGCAGAAGTGATCAGAGTCCACCTGCAGACAACAGGGTACCAGGAAGCTCTGCAGAGTTGCGCTCAGCGCACCTCGCCCTTCTCCCAGCTCATGGAAAGGACAGGTGTGCAAGACGCCCCGGCCAAGTCTACAGCTGCAGGAAGGGCAGAGCCGGCCCTGGTGGCTCCTCAGCTTCTCCCCTCATTCCCGCAGTGAGGCTTCAGGAGATGAAACCATACCGCTAAGGCCTTGCTCAGTGTCCTGATTTAAGCATTGCCATTCAGAGAATGGTTGGCCACCAACAGTGACTAGGCAGTGCTTACCTTAACTGAGGCCCAGAAGCCAGGACCCCTCATGTCCTCTCAGCAGAGGGCTGGGCAAGGTGCAGGGATGTGGCTCTAGCCTTCACTACTATCCCATCCTGCTCATGGCAGTGACCTTGACCGAGAGAGGGAGTTTTGGCTTGTTTTTCTTTGCTTTGCTAATCTTATTCTATCATTGCTGCCAAGAGAGGAGTTGTGCCCCAGTGACATTTGGATCATACCCATTGCTGGTCTGCTTTATTCTCTGGCCTGAGGCTCTGCCAGACCTCCTCTCAAGCTTGCCAAGAGGGAGGTCCCTTCCCCACACTTGTCTGAACACCTCCCCACCCCCCGGAGCAGGGCTGCTCTGCCGTGCGGACTGCCAAGGCCCTGCAGGCGGAGGCCTGGGTCACCACTGGGGTTGGCCAGGGACTGGCCTTGCACTAGCTTCTGGGCACAGAAAAGGACCTCCCTAGCCAGGGACACCATTCTGAAAAGCTGAACCCCATTTCAAAGGCCAGCTTGGCCACCAGCTCAGTGTATGAGCTGAGCAAGTCTTCGCACCCTTGTGGGCCTCCGTTTCCCTTTTGTTAGGCATAGGGATTGCACAATGTCTGCCGAGGCTCCAACCGGGAATTCTGGAAATGTAGGGGCTACTCGAGGTGAGCCTGGCACATCCTGAGGAGATGCTGCCAGCACTGAAGGCCCCTCCCCTTTTGCCAGCAGGGAGGGGTGATTAAGTATTATTAGTGTCTATTCTTAAAATTAAGTGGGTTGGAAAAGAATCAACTTACAGATGCCAGCACCTTATATGGAATACAAAAGCTGGAGAAATCAAACCCTGCTTTTACAGGTGCTGCTGATCCCCAACTGAGTCCTGCAGGGTGGTAGAATTAGGAGGGGCAGGAAGGCATAGCCAATTCTCAAGGGTGTCCTCGTCAAAATTCAGGCTTGAGAGTATGTTTCAGGGGTGTAGAGCCATGGTGTGGGTGTCACAGCCTTTGGGATCTCAGACTCCCTGAGACCTTGACTAAGCCCCTGCCTGACCATGGTCTGTTTCCTGCCCTCCTGGGGCAGCATGCAGCCCCTGTCCTCGCCCTCCCCTGCCATGGCATGTTCCAGTGTGGGCATCCCGGCTACCTCAGCAGTATTTCCAGGACTGGGAAGACAGTTCTGGTCACTCCTAAGGCCTGGCCCCCAACCCATGCTGCCTGGAAGCCAGGTAGACCTGTGTAAAATAAGCTGTGTTTCTGGTTTAATTTGCCTCCGTAGTCCAAAAGGGGCAGACCCCAGAGTCCTGTGCTTTTGTTGAGACTCAACTTTGCCAAATGCGCCGAGCTTTGCCATTCATGTGCCATATGGGCCTTGCCAAGGGTTTTTCTGTGCACACTTGCGGGGGCTTCCTGGGAGTTGTGTTTTCGCACAGCAGGGGATCTTGTACCGAGACATGACTGTTTTCCCTGGTCTTGGGGACAAGTTCCAAGGTGAAGGGACCAAAAAGGTAATCTCTTCCCAGGAGCCTGCCATGCTGAAGTGTCAATAAACCGTGAGTTCCAAGACGTTGTCACCGAGTCCTGCTTTCTTCCCTCATCTCTGAGTGTCTGGTCCCTGTGGGTGTCCAGGGTGTACTTGGAAGCTGCTGAGGCATTGGGAGAACTATCTGCAAACTGCCCTGCAGAATATCCTCTCTAGCCAGCCTGGCCTGGTTTTCTTCCTGAGGCTCCAAGCCTGTGCCTGTCGGCAGCAAGAGTAACCAAGTAACCAGAGAGGGGAGGCCCCTGGAACCTCACATGACAGTGCAGAGCTGCGGGAGCCTCCAGTGGCCCTGCCTTTCAGCCAGAAGCTGGAAGTGGCCAAGCTCTTTGCGGCTGGGGATGCCCTGCATCCAGTACTGACAGTCAGAAGTGAGCCCCTCCACTGGGTGAACGCCCTCACCACCTGCTGACCTGTTCAAGCTAAAATGGAAGCGCTAAACATTCCTTCTGTTGCCATTCTGTTGCCCGCCTGGCGTCTTTCCCATTTCTGCGTGCAGCACTGCCTGAACTGGGATGAGCAGTCTGCTGGAGCGAGGCCTCCGCACAGGGTGAGGACAGCAGCACCTTAGGTGACCCTGGGCACACAGTGGGGAACTCAACTTGCAGCTGGACTTCAAGAGAGAAAAATCTTAGAAATGAGTCCACTGCTGGTAATTCCTAAAAGGCAAGATTTTGGGTGGGCTTTTTTTTTTTTTTCTACTTTGAGGTTTTTCTCTCAATTCTAATTTTTTTACATAGTAAATGTTTTAAAAATGCTTTTACAGCTGAGTGTGGTGGCACACACCTGTAATCCCCGCACTCTTAGGAGGCTAAGGCAGGAAGATCACAGGTTCAAGCCCCGCCTGGACAATTTATCAATTTACCCCTTGTCTCAAAATTTAAAATGAACAAAAGTATGAGGCCCTGGGTTTAATCCCCAATGCTGAAGAAGAAAAAAAAGCTTTTACAGACAGACCAAGGGGGATCAGCCAGCAGTAGCAGGGGTTGCCAGGATGGCTGCCAAGGACCTTGGTGGAGACCAGGGAGTCCTGGTCGCTCCACTGAGTTGGAGGAGTCCAGGCTGAAGCTGGGCACAGCCTGGGCAGCCCCCTCCCGGAGGTGGGCCTCACCATTCTTGGTGAAAAGGGCCCAGACCTGTCAGTCCCTTTGTGGTCAGAGGGACTGGCTCCTTGACGCTGCCTGGACAGGTGATGGGAACCTTCCTCAGGACCATTGTGGTTGACCTTAAGGGAGCCCCTCGCAGGGCCCACCTGACTGCTGCCCTCTGCTCCAGAACTGTGACTCCCAACAATGACTTCTAACCCAGACCTCTCGAACCTTATGCACGTAAAGGTTGGCCAACAGCAGGATGCGCTGTGGCTGGTGTTTAGCAGCCTGGGTGCTCAGGGGCGCTTGCTCCCGCAGGGACACGAGGTGCAGGGCACACACGCATAATCCGGCAAGGCTGTGACCCCCAGCGTGTGTGAAACTGCACTTTGAGACCAACTTGAGCCCCTTCCCGATGCCCTCAGGGGATCACTACTGTCGTTGGGAAATAGCCAGTCCTGGGACTCAGTCATGCAGTCCTTTAGTAGCCGTTGGACTGGCATCTTGCCACAACATTCAGGTGAAGGATGAAGCAGCCCACAGAGCCAGCCACCAAGTCACCAGCTACGGCAGGGTGGGATTCAGCTTAGCATATGGGGCTCAAGTGCCAGTGGGCTAAAGGGCCAGTACAGGGTCCAAGCCTGAGTGGCACTTTTCAGAGTCCCCAAGTCTGCAGCTCTTGCCGTTTGGTCTTTGATTTATTTCTCAAGCACAAGAGAAAGGTTGGCAGCCAGCCAGGAGACCTCAGCCTGTACTGCTGGCCAAGATCAGGCCTTAAAGGGACAGAGAAAACAGATGCCTCCTCTAGCACAGCCCCCAAATGCCCTGAAATGGTCCCCAAAACATGGGGGAGGCATGTGTGGCCCAGCTCATTTGCACTTGCTGTGCCCCTCCTTTCCTCACCCCCATCCTGGACCCCCCAAGCCTCACATACTCTTCCTTTCCCTGTGGGCCTCCTGTTTCCTGGCACGGTCTGTTTCATTTTTCCTGGTCCCTCCCAAGTCATCCTGAAATGTCCCCTCCTGTTCCAGCAACACCTGCTGCCCAGAACTGAGGCCTCCTACCCTCAGCTTTGCCATGCTGAGGAAGGCAACTTTATCTTCCTCCATTCTGTCACAGAGGGGCCATCCTTGGAAGAGCAAGGTAACCAGCCCAGGAGGAGATTCTGTCAGAATGCAGGCTGGGGTTCCCCACCAGTTCCTGGCACCCTCAGGCCCACCCACTTAACAATCTGTCCTCTTGCTCTGCCCACCCACTCAGCTCCCTGAAGTCTCCTACTTAAGTATATGCTGTCTTGTTGTTCCCTAATGAATTGTCTGAATCTCCAGATGGTGGCTCTGCACTCCTCTCCTGGCCCCCACCTTCGTGTAGCTTGGAACCCTCTCTCAGGGCCATTCGGTTGGGGGCAAGGTAGGCCTGAGGGACCACCAAGGTGCAGGCAGGGATTGGGGCTGGCCTGTAGCTGAAAGCAGTTCACGCATGTGACCAGGCCATCATGATGGCAGCTAGGGGTGGGGGTGGGGGGACAAGAGTCCGCTAGGGTAGTCAGAGCTGGGCTCCACACCTGTCAAATGGCTTTAGCTTGGCAAAGGGAATCCAAATGCCCCAGGCTAAGGCTAGGTTGGACAGAGGCAGAGAGAGGCAGGAATCCCAAGTGGGAAGGATGACGCCTAATGCTCAGGGGCTCTCAGGACCCCCGCCTGCTTCTCTTTCAAACTCTGCTATCTAGTATGGGGTAAGTCAGGAAGAGGCCCTCAGGGCCCTGGCCAGGACAAGCCTTCGCAGATCTGCCTTCTTAGAGCTGACCTTGAGAGTCCTGGACTTTTGGGTGTCTCAAGGCCAAAGAAGTATAAGTACAGCCCCCTGAAAGCCAGCCCTGAGCATTTGCTCAACCCCAGTAGTGGGCCCTGGCTAGTGGCACCCCTGGGGGCTGTGGTGGCCATGCAGCCCAGCCCAGCCCAGCCCAGGCAGGCCCGTCCTCAGACCACCGTTTCAGTCAGTCATTCTGGCTGTGGTGAGGGGACTTCCGCCTCACTCACCTTCCAGCCGTAACAGACTTAAAACGCCCGCTCCGTGCCCTCTCCCTCCTCTTCCCTAGGCCTTAGTTGCCAAAGGAACTGCAGGTCGCTTGCAGTCCCCAGGGCTTATTGGCTTCTGCCCACCCTCAGTCCAGCATCACACAGCGTTGCTTCAAAGCAGTATATAGACAGTCACCATAAATGAATATTTCTCATGATTAAAATATGTGCTGCTTTTCCTTTTTCACAGTGCTGAGCATTGAACCTAGGGTCTCACAAATTATATATTATACTTCTTAAATTATAAAATAATACTACACGTGGAAAAACTTGGAAAAGAACAAAGAGGAAAAATAGGATTTGATTTGGAATATGAAACAAAATATTCATGGTCAGGGCTGGGGTACAGCTCAGAGTTAGATCACCAGCTTGGTATGCATAGGATCTTGGTCAGTCAGTCCCCAGTGCCAAAAAACAACCCCCCCCAAAAAAATTCCAGGTCCATATTTGAAAATGCAGTTTAATACACGTGCCTTGGTGCATGTCTCTAGTCCCAGCTACTTGGGAGGCTGAGGCAGGAGGATCACTTGTTCCCAGGAGTTGAGAACATGATGAAATCACATCTTTAAAAAATCCTATTTTAAGACTGGAGATGAAAAAAAAAAAAAAAAAGACTGGAGATGAGCTCAGTAGTACACCACTTGCCTTGCATGTGTGAGTCCACGCATTCTGTACCCAATACCACAAAAGTTAAAAAAAGAAAATTAAAAATGCAGTTTAAAAGACAAAACCTCTTGAAATGAAAGATACCTTTTTACACAGAGAGACTAAAATAATATGGAGAAATCGCTGATGAGAAAAAAAAGATTAAGTGTAACAGCTATGAATTTAAAGTCAGAACTATATGTGCATATTTCATGGACAAAGATACACTGGAATTCGATACATTTAGTGTTCCTCCCCAAGCAGAAACGTGGTATCATGTTTTCCCTGAAGTAAGGGAGCCTCAGTTTACAGAGTTGTTTTCAGCCGCTGCTGCTTAACATCAGTGTCTTATTTTCTCATCGCAGAGATAGAGTACCTGACACCCACAGCTGTAAAGAAAACAGGCTTATTTTGGCTCAAGGTGTGTGGAGGTTTCAGTCCATAGTCGGCTGGCTTCAAGGCAGGGTGACTTGGAACAAGGGGACCGCAGAGGAGAAAGAGCTCATGGCATGCCAGTGGGAAGCAGAGAGAGATCAAGGGCAGAGGGAGGGAGAGGCACCCAGGCCACGCCCCCAGTGTCCCACCTCCTTAAGCAGGCAACTTCCCACGTCCTATTTAGCTAGAAATTCATCTGTGGACTAGTCCACGATGAGTATCATGTCCTGTGATCCATCCAATCACCTCCCAAAAGCCCCACTTATGAGCACATCGAGGCTTTGGGGGGGGGGACATCTAATTATAAATCATAACAGTCAGAAAAAGCTGGGCCCCAGCCAGGGAACATTCCCCTTTCAGGGGCCCCTGAGCATCCACAGCCTCTCCAGAGACTCAGCTTAGTCAGAGTGACAAACACAGGCTGCCAAGCCCTCCCACGTGGCATCAGCTATCAATGCCTGATTCCAACACTACTGCAAGTGTGAGTAGCTTCCTCAAAAGTTTTGAAATTGATATCAACAAGATATGAAGATGCAAGAGGCAGGCAAGAACTGATGTCCAGGGTGTGGCTTAGTGGTAGAGCACTTTCCTAGCGTGCAGGAGGTCCTAAGTTGCATCCCCAACATTGACAAAGAAAAAGCCATGGTTAACTATAAAGCAAACTAATGAAGCACAGCCAGCCACCAGGCAATGACAAAACAGTGCCTCATAATATTGAAACTTCTTAGAGGCCTTAACCCCTCTGCCTGTCTCTCCCCCTCACCCCAGGAACCAGTATCC